CCAGGAAAAATATAAGGAATAATTTGAACCTTAACAAATGGCTTATTAGAACCTCACCAAATCCTGTAGTTAGTTAGGTCTTAACAAGCTTCCCATCACTATAAGCCATACATCTAAAGGTTTATATTGTTGGCTAATCTAAACCCATAGATGTTTGGGTTACAAGAATGGGTAGCTTGGTGAGATCTAGCTAACTAGAAAATCTGGTAAAATTCTTATAACCCATTTGTTAAGGTTCAATTATTCCCTGTATTTAGTGCAACAAAAAAATGTTTCCAACATAGATTAATCAGCACTTCCTGTTCTACAAATTCCAATATAAAAAATTACAAAAAAATTTATTTTTGATAAGAAATAAAGGCACTTTGATATTTTTATAGTCACTATGTATTTTTTACTTAATAATATTATAGCTGACGTCAATACGAATTCAACGACCTACATATTATTGTCCTTAAGCATTGAAATAACGTTAAAACAGTTCTGAACAGCTAACTCTTCGATCCGGCCCACTGTGCGTCGTAACGACGAGTCTTGCGCAATGTCTTCGATGAATTCGACGTATACACGTTTAGAAAACAATATCCATTCGTTAAACATCGATATGATGAATGTAATTTTTTTGAAAATGAACAGCTAACTCTTCGATCTGGTCCACTGTGCGACGGTGGAAATCTGCCGACGGCGAACGATCGTTGAAAAACATCGACGTCAATTTCGCGGTCGTGGCTCCATTCCTAAGTGGGTGGAGTCGGAATTAAACGTCCCCCGGTTTCATCGTCGTGTGCCATCACCGTCGGAAGCAGGGGTTATCACTTTTTTTTTAACGGGTGTGCAGGCAATTTTCACGGTCCCAGGAAGCTTAATCACGTCGTACCGGGCCGGAAGGAGCAAGTCACGTTCTCGACATGAATTCGCAGCCATTCATTTCCCAGAAACGCTGCAATTCACGCGACTAACCGGTGGCGGACGATGAGGGACCGTATGAATAAATAAATTCAACCTGGAGTTGGGAATGTATCTCGACGGCCCTTTCTCTCTGGTTTACTCTGCAATTTTGTCGAGACCTTTCGCCTCCGAGGCGCCCGTTCCCTTTGATCGTTGCCTTTGCCACGGGCGTATTGGCACCTTCTTTTTTAATTGAAAAATGGGATTATTCCTGGTGTACTTCTAACGGAAGTGAGTTCTAGCCACGGGAGGTCATTTTAATTACTTTAAAATATATGTTAACTGCTGTGAATATTTTTTAATTACCTTTGACCCCTTCTGTTTCCGTGTCTGGTGTTGAAAAAGTGGTCTCAAAGTAAGCTGAAGGTAATTTGCATCGGGGTCGTTTGTATAAGCTGAAGTAATTTAATACTTTTTTTATTGTTTCGCTTGAATTCTTCCATCGTGGAGGTGGGAAGGAGGTTAGGGAGGTCCAAAACGATACCTAATTAAGGGGCTTAGGGCTATTGAGACCTCGATGAACGCTGTTGGTTTTCCACTGAATGAGAGTCAAATGTGTTCTTAGTGGGAAAATATTGTGACCAGTAAACTGTGGATTTTATGCATTTATAGGCTATAGGGCACTCCCAAATACAGTAAAAGACAAAACTTTCATCAGAAGCAACGAAGTTTCTATTTTATTCTTCACCCAATAAGATACTTAAGAGAAGAAATAAATTCCTACATTTGCTAGTGTCTTTATAAATTACTTTACAAAAAGTCATTTTGCATAAAAATCCGCAGTCTAGTGATCAGTAATAGTTAGTGTAATTTTTAACGTTTCTCCAACTTCGAAGTCTGAAGAGTTGCGCAAGAAGTGTATTCAAGTATACCTTTCCATTCATATTTCCACTTAGCAAAAGGGCGTCTGACCTTTAACACGTTCCTCTACTTAGAAGAATTTCCATAGAAGAAAAGTCATTGACCTTTGCTTGACTTTTCCACCTAATAACTTCCCCAAGATTAAAAGAACGCAGTCGCACCTTTTTCTGATTTCTTTACAAACAGACAGGTGTAAAAAATGAAGTAAATCTGAGCTATGCATGATTCCTCTACTTAAGGTTACCTTTAAGATGTCTGACCTTTTGCTGGGTTTTCTACTTAGAGAGTATATGAATTGAAGAAACGTCTTGACCAGAGATAGGCACAATTTTTATGCAAATAAAATTTTTATCTAAATAAAAATAAGAATAACATTTTTTTTATCTTTTAAAAAAATGTTATTCGTTATTCGAAGCTTGAATAAAAAAGGTATCTTTATTCGACAAGAAGTATCCGACGAATAAAAGATCCTTTTTTCATTCGGGGCGTTTTATTCATAGCGTCGAATAAAATGTTCATCTTTTATTTGTACCATTTATCCGAAGGGTCTTGCATGCGTCTTAATTTTGCTACCCGAAACTTATTTTTATACGAAACGAAAAAATCATTAGGAAAACATCGAAGTGCAATAAAGACCAAAAATAACGCGGAGGAATAGCTAGATGGTGGATTTCACATTTTTGTAAATATGGATGAAAATGATAGGACGATATAAAATCTCCGAGCAGTTTCCTAGTGGAGCTACGTCGGGATTTTAGATGTTACCCCAGCCGCGAAATTACCCAGGGACCCTCGAATTTCCGTGGGATCTTGAAAAGTGCATCATCTTCCTTGCCAGCCTCGCGTTAACGATTCGCTGAGTTCCGACCGATGTTAGCTGGCCTGGAATGGATCCGTTTTCGTCAGTTTCAGGGTCTCGTGGCTCTTGAGATCCACCTGCCCTAATGATCGACAATCGTGATCGTGATCTTACGTTTTAAGGGGTTATGCCTACCTATAAATTTTGAAAAAATTAATTTTTGGGTTTTAATATTGTCTAACGTACATTATTTTAGAAATATTGTGTGAAAGTTTGAAGTTGATCCGACCAAAATTGGCGGAGGTACGCCTGTTTAAAGTATACGACCTTGGAAGTTTCGGAGCAGATATAAAGTGATAGAATCCCTTTGTAGGGGTGCGTGCGTCATAAATACTTTGCCTCAATGCAATTTATGGTTGCGTTAGTAAATACACAAAGCTGTATGAAGCCGTAATACTAAGAATAACTATTGTATATATAACAAATTTGCATTGATTCGATTCTAAACCTGACTTGAAACTTTAAACGTGTTTTTCTCAAAACCACATTTTCAAAATCGGTGACCAAAATATCTCGAGAACTGCTGCACCGAACTGATTCAGCTTTGGTGGACTCATTCTATACATAAAAATCTAGTGCCTGATCGTGGCTTTTTGTATTTCATTGCGTACTTTTTATTTTATAGATAAAAAATGAACGATTTTTTGGCGAAAATCGATACTTCGATCTTTAACAGCCGCCATTTTGTGGTAAATTAATTTTTCAAGATAATGAACGATCGGGCACTAGATAATTTAATATAGTAACTAAATTTGCTCGGATTTTTTATTTTAGATAAACGAACTCGATGTTACAGTGGTCACCGCAAAACGCTTCAAATAAAAACGCCGCCGGGAGATCGTTGATATTTCCTCTATTTATTCATATTTTGCATTGAAGAAATTACTGTAAGCACTTTGAAATGTACACTTTCGAATACAATGACGTATGTTTAAATAAGTCTTCATGTTTTTTAAAAATAAATTTTGAAAGTACATGTCTTTTTTCGAGCTCGCAGGTAGGCATAACCCCTTAATCCTTGTTCCAAGTAGAACAGTCTGCCATATGTCAGACATCGCGTTCCAGTCCAGAATTAATTTTCTTTCAGCTATCCAGAGTCACGTGTCTCCTCGCGTACTTGCATTTTAACATTCGTTTACGTCTCTAAAATTTCGTTTGCTTGAATGTATCCTTTTTTTTTTCATCTTGAAACACTTCGAATTGAAATTTTATTCAACACGTGCCAGAGTTTCTAAATAGGCGCTTCTGCCGCTTTTACACCTCCACCGATGAATACGGAGAAAACGCACCAAACTCGAATTGAAATTCTCGTTACGTCGAACGTTTTTCCGCGATCTCGACATTTTTGTAATAAATTAACATGGACGCGTTGAACGAATTAATTACGGAAATTAATTTTGCACCAGCAGTTGTCTATTAAATTTTGCACAAAAAGAACCAGAGCTAGTGGTAAAAGCTCGGTGTAAAAAGTCATTAAAAAATGTATGCAAGATTTTCTTTAATGTGGAATCCTTGATCCTCTTAAGAAAAGAAAATTGAAAGCTCTCGGTGGGAATAAAGTAGTCGCCTCCAAACTTTGCGAACTGTAATTATTTCCACAGGGGACGAAGATGAATGATACAAATGACGTTTAATTTTCTGTTGCAGGGAGAAATGGCCCATCTGAGAAGGGAAGGAAGTAACTCTGAAAAACAGTGTATGTGTGTCAGTGTCTCAGACTTTTCTACGAGTGTGTCTTCTTTAAAATAATTTATACGAGTGGCAAAAGTGGAACTCAGCAGAAAAAGTGGTGTAAAATTGACTACAAGGGAGCTACTCCCTCGAATTGATCACTTAAGAGCCAAAAGTCTCCGAGGAAATTTTTCGTTGTTCGAAAGAGTTGCGGCAGAGGAACGTGATAGTGCGTTTGTCACGAAAGGTGACAATAAAATAATTTAGAGAGTGGGGGTGTCGAAAACAAGCTAGGATTAGAATTTCAAAGAAGTTCGGTGTTCCCTGCGATAAATTTCTCTCGTCCCCGGTTTCGCCAGTCGAAAAGGGTGAAATAAAAGGTCGGCGGGTTTCTCGACTGATAGGGGGTGGGTCAGAGGGGGTTGGGACGGGAGTAAAAATTCGATTGGAAAGCCGAACTCGATTGTTTCCGCTGCAAGGCAGAGACGAACCCTGAGGACTCGAAGAATCCAGAAGAATGGCGGCGTGGAGGGGAGGGACCGTTGTGTCCGAGTTCTGACTGAAATTTCTATTGATTTCGGTGGCGGAAAGTGGTGAGGCGCGAAGATGTAGATGCGGGGAAAGTCCGAGAAAGGCCTGGAAATGGACAATTAGAGGCAAGATGGATGCGGCTAATGCCATTGGCAACAACACCCGAGATTTCTGCAGCGTCAGATACAAAGACTTCATCCCCCCGGAGGGTGGTGAGTATTCTTTTATCACTCGAGGAAAATCTTCCTTTAGCAACATACTTATTGAATTTTTACCGTCGATTGATCTGGTACTGGACGGATGGAAAAGTTAGCAGTTAGCATTTTAGGGGATGCCAGAGCGTACCAAGAGGGTGGATGTCTGGAATTAACCCCTTGCCCTATAACATCGAGTCAGACTCGTGTTGACGATTTCAAAATCGATGCAACAAAAAAAATATTTTTCGGTTTTCTTTGAGTCGCTAGCATTAATAGTTCACTTTTACAGTAAAAATACAGTTGCAATAAGTATAGAATTCCTTTCGTTTCTGAGAAACTATCGACAATAATGTAATCCTGGAGTCTGCAGACATCAAGAACATCGTAGGGCAAGGGGTTAATGTTTGATCTATTTCTTTCAGGGTTGTTTCGTTAGATTGTACAGTAAATAATTGATTAATGCTCGGAGGCTCCATTGAGAGGGGGGACCCGCCAGTGGTGAAGACGTTTGAACACTCACAAGGGAAAACCTTAAACATTGATTCACAGATTCGAATGAAACTTTGTGGGCTTACAGAGTGATTCAAGAAAAGGGTAACGATATCTTTCATTCATGCTCAATCGTCAATTCAGGGTGTGAAAATTAACCTGAATATAAAAAATAAATCCACAAAGTTTCGTTCCAAACCACCAGTCAGCGTTCGTGATATTCCCTTACCAGAAGCCTTCGAACACGCATCGATGCTTTACTGTATTACAGTAATATACTAGAGGAGAAGTATTCACCCGTGAATTGTTCAATATAGCTAACCCTGTCCTAAACCCCTAAGGGTCTGGGTTAGGCGCCAAAGCTTAAATTAAATTACGCCCATCGGTGCAACGACTCTACCAATGTTCTTGCTTCCGATCCATCGAAAAGCCACACATACCCAGTTTGGTTTGCTCGGAAGAAAGTTCTCAGAGTGGAAAACTCTGTCCAGTCGTCGGTAAACTCTCTCGCCGGGGTTCAGTCGACGAAATTGTATCGCGCGCGCCAAGGGGACACGTTTCATCGAACAGTAATAAGCTCCGAGTTTTCTTCTATATTTCCACGTTTTCAGAGCTGTGGTGCGACCCGGTCTGGGACTCGCTGCTCTGCTGGCCGCCGACCAAAGCATCGACGATGATGAGACAGAGATGCCCCTTCGAGGATGGATTCGACACGACCAGTAAGTGTGCACGCGAGAGCGACGGTCGTTTGATGAATGCACATTTAAATTGCTTGTTAGCCGGCCAGGCAGCGGTCGCCGCGGCGCCCGGGCAATAATTAGAATCCCCGTGTAATTTTCAAAGAACAGCCCCGGCCAACGGGTGGGCTGCGCCCATCTGGCCCGCGATTCCATGGAAATTAACGTGAAATTGTCGGGGCGACTATTAAACGAACTACGGGGGAGCTGGAAAAAAAGGAAAACTGATGGCGAAGGACTTGGTCCAAACCTAGGCATGAGAGTGTTTACGGGGGCTCTAGTGATGTTGGGTTAGGGGATACTCTGATGATAGTGATAACTAGTGGTTAGATCTAACGCAGATTTAGCACCGTTTAGGGTTTAATTCAGGCTGAACTAGACATTAAGTGAGGTTAGCAGTCACTAGGGATCTCCTTAACATGACTCAGACTTTATTTCGACCTGGTCCAACGATAATCTAAATGAAACTTACTATTGAAAAGTGTTTCGGTATCTGTGGTGGCAGGACTAATAATCGCCAGGTCAATTATGTAGATTAGTTCAGACTATCCTTTGGATACAACTTAATTACTTTTAGTACTTAAATTGTATTTTACTTCTGGAGTTTTGAAGACTTCTCTTTCTTTGGACATCATCTTCTAAGTGACCATATAGCCTTTAGACATCGTACCCCACGTATTCATACATATACCTTTTGACATCATCCTCTAAGTGTCCATATAGTTTTTGGACACCATACCCTAAGTGTCCATACCTATACCCTTGGACACCATCCTCTAAGTGTCCAATAGCCTTTCGACATCATCCTCTAAGTGTCCATATAGCTTTTGGACACCATACCCTAAGTGTCCATATAGCTTTTGGATACTATCCTCTACGTGTCCATATATCTTTTGGATACTATCCTCTAAGTGTCCATATAGCTTTTGGACACCATACCCTAAGTGTCCATATAGCTTTTGGATACTATCCTCTACGTGTCCATATATCTTTTGGATACTATCCTCTAAGTGTCCATATAGCTTTTGGACACCATACCCTAAGTGTCCATATAGCTTTTGGATACTATCCTCTAAGTGTCCATATATCTTTTCGATACTATCCTCTAAGTGTCCATATTGCTTTTGGATACTATCCTCTAAGTGTCCATATATCTTTTGGATACTATCCTCTAAGTGTCCATATAGCTTTTGGACACCATACCCTAAGTGTCCATATAGTTTTTCGATGCTATCCTCTCAGTGTCCATATAGCTTTTGAACACTATACCCTAAGTGTCCATACCTATACCCTTGGGAACCATCCTTTAAGTGTCTATATAGCCTTTTGACATCATCCTCTAAGTGTCCATATAGCTTTTGGACACCATACCCTAAGTATCCATATAGCTTTTGGATACTATCCTCTAAGTGTCCATATATCTTTTCGATACTATCCTCTAAGTGTCCATATAGCTTTTGGACACCATACCCTAAGTATCCATATAGCTTTTGGATACTATCCTCTAAGTGTCCATATATCTTTTCGATACTATCCTCTAAGTGTCCATATAGCTTTTGGACACCATACCCTAAGTGTCCATATAGTTTTTGGATACTATCCTCTAAGTGTCTATAGCTTTTGAACACCATACCCTAAGTGTCCATACCCTTGGGAACCATCCTTTAAGTGTCCATATAGCTTTTGGACACCATACCCTAAGTGTCCATATAGTTTTTGGATACTATCCTCTAAGTGTTCATATAGCTTTTAAACGCCATACCCTAAGTGTCCATACCTATACCCTTGGGAACCATCCTTTAAGTGTCCATATAGCCTTTCGATACCATTCTCTAAGTGTCCATAAATCTTTTGGACACCATCCTCTAAGTTCTCTATTCAACTCGTCCTAGCGCAATGGAACCCAAATTGCCATATTATTGACCGCAGAACCATGGCTTTCACAGAGTCCAATGGAGGTTAATTCCTAAACTGTTCAAGATATGTTTGGAATATATCGTATCTAACAACCAAATTCCTCCCCCTATCATTCATACGTAGGGACAGTAATTACTTTTAGTTACGTAAATTCTATTTTACTTCCGAAGTTCCAAAGCCGTTTAACTTTTTCCACGATCAGACGGTATTCTCAAAGTCTAATTAAAATTGTTAAAAGGGAACGCAAGTGATTACGGAGTCAAACACTTACCCTGGAAATGGCCTCATTGTAATTAGCTCGCTAATGATCCCCGAAGGAAAATGTGAAAGTTTATTATGCTCTGGCTAGATTTAAATGTGTATCGAGAGATTTCTTCGCCGCCAGTCCTCCCTGCGAACTTCTTAATGATTCCAGGCGCCATCAACGCGTCTGGAACGCTTTCCCACCCCCCGAAGTGTCCCAAGATTCTTCGATGCGCTCGAGGCTCTATTGTTTTTCGGCTCGAGGATACTGTTTGATTAATTAATCTCTTCGGTCGGAAGAAGAAGAAGAACTTCCCACGGTTCCGGGAGGAAATTAAAAGCGTCATTTGCATGGTAAACCGATCGTGAAAGTATTTCGTGATTCGACGTCGTCCATTACGAATTCCGAGGCTATCGTTCTGGCCTCGATTGAAAAGCGCCGCTTTGCCGGACGAACTTCACAAGATTCTTCTTCGATCTTATTAATGACGGAACGTTAATCTGTGAAACTCTCCTTTGCATACCAAATGCTCGGAACACAAACATATTTTTCATAAAAATTAACAACAAAAAATGGTCCTGTTTATTCTGTCAATTATAAAAATTATCGAATCAATTTTCGTCCCTAATTTAATTTACTTTATACAGAAAATAATGGTGCCATTATTTCTTCCCTTCTTTTTCATCGATGACAGAAATAATTGAAATTTCAGTAACGAGTTTTATGTTATTTATTTCGTTTCTTCTTCTCTTCAGTGGGTATAGATATAATACTTGAACGATTTCATCTGTTAATTTAAATTTACTCGGCGATTCAGTGAGAATTGCTGTAATATCCCATTCTGCAGGAATATTAATATCAGTGGAATACTTTTATCGAGGCGGATGTAAGAGTCGATTCAGTCTGGAACTTCCCGCAAGCAATCCGATATTAACTCGAACATTAATTACCTGCATAAATTTGCCTGGTTTATCAAAATACGTGTCGGAAATTATCTCCACCGTTGCATCTGCAAAGCTGGAATTGTAATCCAGCTTCTAATCCACAACACGTAATGTGCACGTATCGCCTACACGTCCATTCAGCTCTATATTTAGAACTTCATTCAAGGTGTGTCTAATTGGATTTACTTAATTATCTCACCTCCATAGAGGTATGATATTTTTAGTCCCTTAGTCAGTGCTTTCTTCCGTCAGTTCTAAATGTTACGTAATCTTGAGACACCTTGTAATTACCTATAGTTGCAATGTCATCAAATATAACTTACAAGGGAAGGCACGGAAGTGTCCACCTCCGATTGCGATGAAACTTCGTATGTCTGTTAAGCAGTAAAAAATAAGGAATATATTTTTTTTATCGGCTAAGAGGCGACTGTGGGGGGTGAAACCGCCCTTCGAAGTTTAGACCCGAAAGTACTATCTCGAAAATCAGAAGAGATACATGAAAATTTCTAATGAACGAGGTTTGTTTTTTATGTAGAATAATATAGTGCTAACAAATTGTCCAAAATATAATTTTTTTATAACAAAAAAATTTCGGGTCGAAACTTCGAGGGGTAGTTTCACCCCCTAAAGTCGCGTCTCAGTCGATAAAAAAAATACGTGTCCCTTGTTTTTAACTGCTTAATAGAAATACGAAGTTTCATCAAAATCGGAGGGGGACACTTCGGTGCCATCCCTTGTCAGTTGTTCCGTTGAAACATATCTCGTGAAAGTCATGTCCCGCCTGATTCCTCAGCTATTTATACATGCGTCTCCCCTTTTGCATAGATGAAACCGCCGGCCTGTGCAGCGAAAGTGAGGTTAGTTTATATTCGGGTGGCAGCAACAAGTGTTCCTGATTGCCTTTAACTTCCGTCTAATTGCTCAGATTGGTCGTGGCGGTCTGTGGTCTAAAAGCTACACTGAACGGAACCCACGCCCAAAAGTGGATGCCTGCAGTTAACTTTGACGATGAAAAAGCTCCCTTTATGGGCCCAGTGATATCAATCCCAGCCCACAAATGGCATCTAGCCTTAGTCGCTTTGCATCGTGTGTCCTAGAAAGAAAAAAAAAAATTCCATTCCATCGGAGACGAGGCTCGAGTACACGCGAAGGAAATAAGTATATCTCGATTTATCTTCCTCTCTGGCAAATTTATTTGCCGTTATATTTATTCGTTTTGCACAAGTCCCCCTTTTCCAAGTCGAAACGAAGCACGAAGTCCTGCGTCCGCGCCTCCGTTGGCATTCAAACGACCGGGGGAAAATTCAATGCAGCCACTTTTGCAGACAGAGATAAGGCTTGCAGAAGAAATTACACATCGAGAAAAATAAACCCGCGAGGTTTCCGCTTCCGTTGACAAAACGTCCCCGTGGCCCCTCCTCCTCCGCGCCCGATAGGGGGGGAAAAACGAAGCTAGAAAGCAGATCAAAGGGAGGCCATTTCCTCGGGCTGCATTTTCATATTTGCTCGCCTAAGAAATTGAAATGAAACCTTGTAACTTCCGAGTTTTTCCTTCCTAACAATACTCCTGGAGTGGCGTGCTAGAATTCTTTGTTGCCGTCCCGTGATTCTAGAGAAACATCTTGACCGAATGGAAGTGAGCAGTCTGAAGTGGGTGTCCTTTAATGAAGAGAATACTGTAGCTCCAGTAGCTGAAAATCAAGCTAGTAATCAGATAGTAAACACATTTATTACTACTAAAATTGAAGACCACATGAGAGTACCAGTTTCATTGTTCTAAGTCTTGTGGTTCAATTTTCTGTATGGTACTATAAAGCTAAGTAATAACAATTTAATCCGTAATCTAAGGTAACTTGTATCTTCTGACGTCTCCATCC